ACACAATCATATCAGTAGCATAATTTTGCAAATACTCAAGAACAGAAAGAAAAAGGCAGAAATAAATTTTATTCATTGTGTTGCCTCCCAACAAGCGCTATCGTTTTATGTCCTTAACTAGGTATAAGATTTCAATGATGCTCACATGAAAGACAAGAATTGAAGCACAAAGAGAGCATCACGTAGCATGTGAAAATCACATTTAAGTCTAACGTACTTCCTATGTCTAGGAACTTTATAAGAAAACAAATTATCAAGGCAAACAAAAATTAGCATATGCAAGGAAGAAGAAAGAAACAATAGCAATTTCAACATAATGAGAGGTAATTTAGTAACATGAAAATTTCTACAACCATATTTTCCTTTATCATAATAATTATATGTAGGATCATATTCAAATTCAACAATATAGCTATCACATAACATTTTCTCTTCATGATCCACATGCATAAAAGTTGTAAAATCTTCCAAATAGTGGGATCAACATCAACTAAAGTCATCACCTCTCCAAACCCACTTTTATCAAAAATTTCACAAGATTGAACACTCTCCAAATATGTGGGATTATTTTTACCTAGAGTTGACACTCTTTCGAACCCACTTTTAATATTATTGCAAGCATATTCATCATGAGATTTACATAAATTTTCAAGATCATAAGAATCATTATCACCCCAATCATGATCATTGCAATAAGTTGTGGACATAGCAAAACAAGCATCCCCAAGCTTGGAGTTTTGCATATCATTAATACAATTGACATTAATAGAATTTATAATAACACCATTGCAATCATGCTTTTAATTTCAGGAGCTATCATGAATCACTTTATAAGTTTCTTCGTTACACTTCATCACAATTTTCAGATTCATGAATCTCCAGCAAAACTTCATAAAGATAATATAGTGAACTCAATTCACTAGCGATTTGTTCATCATATAAGATTAGCAAGTGGATGGGGATCCATATCAATAGATTTTTAGCAAGCGAAGATGCAAGCAAATAGAAGAAACACGGCAACACAAGCAAACAAAAGATCAAACAAAAAAAAGGTAAATATATTTTTGTGAAGTGGGGGAGATGAAAACGAGAGGCAATTGGAAAATGATGTAAATTGAAAGGAGATAATATTTGTGATTAGGAACCTGATAGATGTTGATGATGTCTCCCCGGCAACGGCGCCAGAAATTCCTTTTGATGTCGCTTGAACTACGTCGGTATTTCCCCAAAGGGGAAGGATGATGCAGCACAACTACGTAGGTATTTCCCTTAGTTATGAAACCAAGGTATCAATACAGTAGGAGAGCCAAGCAACACTATGTAAACGGTACCTACACACAAAGAACAAATACTTGCAACCCGACGCTTATAAGGGGTTGTCAATCCCTTTTTTCGGGTAACGGCGTGAGATAATGTCAAGTTGACAGGATAAAATTGTGATAGATTGGATAAATAGATCTCGATAAAGTGCAGAATAAAATAAATAACAAAAAAATGCAGCAAGGTATTTTTGGGTTTTTGGAATAATAGTTCTGAAAACAAAAGCAATTAAAAATAGATCTCAAAGCAAATATGATAAAGAATAGACTCGGGGGCCGTAGATTTCACTAGTGGCTCCTCTCGAGAAATAGCAGATGGTGGGTAAATAAATTACTGTTGGGCAATTGATAGAAAATTAGATAGTTATGATGATATCCAGGCAATGATCATTATATAGGCATCACGTGCAAGATTAGTAGACCGACTCCTGCCTGCATCTACTACTATTACTCTACACATTGACCGCTATCCAGCATGCATCTAGTGTATTAAGATCATGAAGAAATGGAGTAATGCAATAAGAATGATGACACGATGTAGACAAGATCTATTCATGTAGGTATAGCCCCCATCTTGTTATCCTTAATAGCAACGATACATGCATGTCTTGTTGCCCTTTTTATCATTGGGAAAGAACACCGCAAGATGAAACCCATCACAAAGCACCTCTTCTCATGGCAAGAATATTCGATCTAGTTGGCCTAACTAAACCAAAGATTTGAAGAAGAAACACGAGGCCATAAGTAATCATGCATATAAGAGATCAAAAGAAGACTCTAATAATATTCATGGATATAGATCTGATCATAAACTCAAAGTTCATCGGATCCCAACAAACACACCGCCAAGAGAGTTACATCAAATAGATATATAAGAGACCATTGTATTGAAAATCAAAAGAGAGAGAGCAAGCCATCTGGCTACTGTCTATGGACTCGTAGGTCTATGATGAACTACTCACGCATCATCAAAGGGCACCAATGAGGATGATGAACCCCTCCGTGACGGTGTCTAGATTGGATCTCGTGGTTCTGGAACTCGCGGCGGCTAGAATTGTGTATTTATAGGGCGAAGAGGCAGTGCGGGAGGCCACCGAGGTGGGCACAACCCACCTGCGCGTGCCCTGGTGGGTTGTGCTCCCCTCGGAGCCCCCTCTGGTACTTTTTGGCCCACTGGATGTCTTTTGGTCCCAAAAAAATCTCCAAAAAGTTTCGCTGCGTTTGGACTCTGTTTGGTACTTATGTTCTGTGAAGTAAAAAACAAGCAAAAACAACAACTAGCACTTGGCACTATGTCAATAGGTTAGTCCCAAAAAATGATGTAAAGTTGCTATAAAATGATTGTAAAACATCCAAGAATGATAATATAACAGCATGGAACAAGCAAAAGTTATAGATACGTTGGAGACGTATCAACAGCTTTTTCAAAAACGCGGTCATGGCGGCAATTTTAGAAAATGGTTCCATGGCGACCGTTTCAAAAACATTATCGTGACACCAAATTTACAAAACAGACCGTGACACGGAATTGTTAGCGCATCCTCCTGGGCCTTGTACACCTCCTCCATGTCGGGGTTCTCCGTGTACACTTGCCACCATCACCTGTAACCTGTAGGCTCTATCTACATCTATTTCCTTAAAAGTGGCATTCTCGTGGCTCGAGCCATCATACCATGACACACATGCCACTTAACATTACAACATATAACCATCTCATACAAAAACTCATTATCATGACGATGGCTATACCACATCATATGCAAATCTGCAAAACCAAGTTAGACGTCCTCTAATCAGTTTGGCAAATTTCAATTACGTGGATTCTAGGCTTTCTATATAACACTAGCTACCTACGTACACAATCAAGGTGATACTTCTTGTTGCTAGATTAACTTTCTAGGTGTGTGAGCGAAGATACCTAATTGTAAAATCTCTAACCCCACACTAATCTTTGTCAAATACACATGACCCCCCAGAAGATCGTTCATCTTCATCACCCTCTTGTGTTTGCGACGATTCACTATTCTTGACTATGATGAAGCCCAAAGAACTGTTAGCCGATCGTCGACAGTCAGAGGCAACCGATTATCAGAACTTTATATAAAGCTACTCATGATGTCATTGAACTGAACCGAAGCAACACTCAAGGGAAGCATAGCAAGAACATCAAATCCTCACATCCACATGCGATTCTTAAGTGCAAAATTTTCGCATGGCTGGCCGTTCAGTACCACATTTGGATATCCGATCACAGGGCATATGGCATGGCCTCCAAGAGCAGTCGTCCGCTTGCTACTCATGCCTGCAAGACGAAGACACAGTTGATCACATTATCTTCAGTGTGTGTACGCAAGGGAAGTTTGGCATCGTTGCATTGTGGCCCCGGATGAAAACCTCTCACTCATCAGGTGGTGGGACAAAGCGAGGAGCGGCTTCCTTGACGCCAACAAGAGAGGTTTCGACATCCTGTTCGTTGCCATCACTTGGTCTTGATGAACAACGCAAAGCGAGAGTGTTTGGGAGAATGACCAATCATAGATGTCCAAGACTTTTGGTTGATCAAATCCTCGATGAAATCAAGGAATGGTCCAGTACCGGTGTAGAAAGTTTACATCGTTTTGTGAGAGAGTAGTTTTTTCTTCTCTAGGTGTGGGTGTGGGTGGATCTACCACTGCTAGCAATGTTTGATCCATCTTGTACATATTTTGCTCCCTTCTACAAAATATTGTTCGTGTACTCTTGAAAATACAACGCAACAAACTAACGAAGCAAATTAACATCAATATGTATATAGCTAGCTCATGATAATAAACAAAGGACAACGCTAACGCCCACATGTGTGGTGGGAGTCAAACCCGCCTACACGCCCTATACTATACAGACTACGCCATGTCACCGCATGCATGCATGTGAAAATCTTTTTGGATTTTCAGTTTTTAAAATCTTTTATCTCTTAAATGAAAATTCGATTGAAGATCCGTTTTCACCATTAAATCCCTCGCGACGAGATCTTCAAAACTAGATCTCATATCAATATATTTTGACAAAATCTTTTTTTGGTTAAAAGTTGCCATGTCTATTGCACATGAATTACCATGATGTTTACACTAAAGTTGACATGTTATGTTTCAGCTATTTTCTTCTATATTAAAAAGTAATTTTTGACATATTATAAAATGGAGAATTAAGAAACTAGACTTGTCATGCACCATAAACTAAAATTGCCATGATACATGCACTTAAAATTGCCATGGTTCATGCAAAAAAATATTTTCATAGTCAAAGTATTCGAATTGCCATTATCAAAAACTAAAATTGTCATGGTCTACAAACTAAAATTGCCACGTGGCAACTTTAGTTTAAGCATCATGGCAACTACACTGCAAACATCATGATAACTTTTGGTCAAAAAAAAATTTCGTCGAAACATATCAACATGAGGTCTAGTTTTGAAGATCTCGTCAAGACGGATTTAATGGTGAAAACGAATTTTTAATTCGTTTTTTTAATTAGGAAATAAAATATTTTTAAGCCAAAAACCAAAAAGATTTTTGCTGATGTCATCTATTCATACGTTGCAAAATGAATGGTGATGAAGGCGTGTGGGCGCGTGAAGAGTAAAATAAATCGTGGCACAACCTAGTTCGTGACAATGCAATCATGCGTGAGCCTAGAGTACATTCAGTTGACAAGGTTGCACTTGGTCCTGATCTTCCCTTGGTTGCCGGTGAGCACGCCGATGGCGCCCATCTTGGCCATGGAGACGCGGAAGTCCCGGAAGAATTCCCCGTCGTACCTGCCAGTGGCGGCGCGGCGGACGTAGGCACCGGCGAAGGGATGCTCCATGAGGCCGGCGTCCGACCGGAGCAGCCCGCGCCTCCTGGCCACCTGCCGATAGTAGCTCGTGTCGAATGTCCCGCAGCTACCGGCGTCCATCTCTGCTGCCGCGCTGCTATCGCTGGGGCCGCGGCAGCGCATTCTCAGCCTATCGGCGTACCTTCCGTCCAGGGTCGGGTCGGTGCTGCGGATGCTGCCATTGTAGAGGCGGTCGGCGAAGGATGAGCAGTGCGCCTTCCCAAGCGTGTGCCCGGCCGAGAGCACGACGAGGTCCTTGACATCGAGGCCCTTGGCCGCGAACACCTCGATCATGACCGTGATGTTTCCGTAGAGCGGCGGCAGCTCGCCGCAGTTTTCGGCGCGGGACGTCCGGCCGTCCCTCCGGCCGAGCGCCACGGGCCAGGATGGGCCTTTGCTCTGGGGTCGACGGATCAGATCCAGAGTTTCAGATACAGAAAGACAAGTTGGCAGTACGCGATGAGACAAGAGGCAAGTTCTTGTGATGTACCAGAACGACGGCGTCTCGTGCCATGAGCACGAGGAGGTCGGCGCAGGAGACGGTGGCCGGGCACGCCTTCTCGAGCTTGTCCTTGACCCGCGCGACGGCGTCGAAGCCTCGGAGACTCTCGTTGGGTATGGCATCCTTCTCCGTGGGGCTCCCGTCTGCGGAGTCGAGCAGCACAGATGCATCGCAGCCCTGCACGAAGCAATCGTGGTAGTGCAGCCGGAGCAGGGACGCGGCCAGGTCCGGCGACGCCCTGACGATCCTCGTCGTCTCCCTGAACACGATCCTTTCCGCTCCCGGGCACGTCTTGTCGTAGTAACCGAACCTGATGCCCGGCTGCGCCGCGCATCCAGACAGGAGCGCAGCTAGAGCAAGTGACAGCCTTGTCACCAGTGCGGCCATCTCTCGAGCCTCCACTCGCTGGCGGCGAGCCATTGCCGGCACTACTGGTAGGCTACAGTGAAACTGGACACTTGCTCTATGTCTGCGTGGCTGCTGCCTTCAGTATTTATGGCTGATCTGCTCTGCATCTGCAGTTAAAATGGTTTTCGTTTCAGCCCCGACGAAAGGCTTCCATTTGACTATAGATTAAGAGCTTCGATTCTTGCATAGGGCGAGTTGACTTTGCCATTACGATATGCATATGCAGCAGATTCGTTGCGTTTCCGTTGCGTGCGGCGCCGTCCACTGTTTTAACTAGCTGTACACCGGTGCCGTAGCTGTGTCCATGCACGCGGCAAGCCTACAGCGTGACCCTAGCCCGAATCTTTGGTTTGAACGCAGATTCAGAAGAAATGAAATGACGGCAATATGCTACTCCTACTCCCGATCACGATGCCCTTATCTCAAGATCCAAAGCCTCAATCTTTAACAGATAATTCCTCGTTCCACAAGACTACATAATTTTCCATCACATTGTAAATCCACAAAACTACATAAGTTTCCATTACATTGTAAGAGAGGCATAAATGTTTCAGTAGGTTAGTCTGTGATTTATTTGCCTATGTTAATTTTTTTTTTAGAAAAGGAGGACGACCCCGGCCTCTGCATCTGGGCGATGCATACGGCCATTTTATTAATTATTGACACAAGACCGTACAGAGTCATACAACAATAAGTCTAAAGCCACCAAAACAAGCAACAACTGTCGCTATCCCTATCCAGTTGATGTAGGGGCGCTGAAAGTCTGGGCCTAATACCAAACAGACCACGCAGCCAAACCTAAACATCTAAAGACTTGAGGTCCCACCCAGGACGCCTGCCTGGTATGGGCACCCACCAGTCCGGCATGCTTCTCAACCAAGACCCCTGCCGGGTATGAGGCCGCCGCAGCCGCCTGCCACCAATCCATCTTCAGAGTTGTACTGTTGCACCGACCTTGCCAGGCCTATCTGCCATCAACGCCACCATGACGCCAGACAGCTTCCACCTCCTGCACGAGTCCATCTCCGCGCATCAGACGCCGAGTCTCCACAGCGCCACGCCGCCGAGATCCGCCACCATCAATGTGTAAGATGAAGCACCGCTCCACCAAAGTCACCGTCCTCTAGTCCCTCGAGCCCGTGTGCACCTCCAAGAATGACGCCCCCAGGGGGGAAACGACACCAGCGAGCCGCCGTCATCCGATCTACTGATCTAGGGTTTCCCCCGGAGGTAGCAGAGAGTGGCCTTGAACTTCTCCACGACGATGCCTTCAGGAAGGAAATGACGCAGACAGCGTCGCCATCGCCGGCCTTGGCAATCACCAATAGCAGGTTTTCACCTGGATTTGATCGAAGACCTCCATCCCTCGTGCACGGGTCGCCAAACCGCCGGGCACGCACCACCGGAACCACAATCCGTCGGCCAACCCCAAAGCGTTGCCGCCGCGAGGTCAGCTTTGGCTGGGGCGCCGGCAGCCATCCCCGACCCCCGGCCCATCCCACCTCCTCCCCCCCGGATGAAGAAGAGGAGGGGAAGGCCGAGGCCGAGGCCACCACTGCTGCGCCGACCCCTCCGCCAGCCGGCCACGGCGGAGGAAGCCGCCCGCAGCCCGCACCGCCAGCAGCCCGCCCCAACCAGATCTGGATCGAGCCGCCGCCGTCACCACACCAGCCGAGCACCACCGAGGAGCAGCCCATCACGCCACCCGCACACCCGCGCGCCAACCTGCGCCGATGAGGGGCCGCGCCGCGGCGCCCCGCGAGAACGCCGTGACCAGATCCAGGTCGGCCGGCCCGCGCCAGCCCTCCCGAACGAGGCGATGAAGACGCCCCGCCGCCGCCGGCGCCGGCCGGGCTTCGCCCGGGCGCGCCCTCTGGCGGCGGCGGGAGGAGGAGGAGGAGAAGAGAGGTGGAGAGGCGGCCGGCGGCTAGGGTTCCTCCCCTGCCGCCCGCGGGAGCGCCAGAGGAGGAAGATCTGGTTTCTGTAGTAATGCAAATAGGGATGTGGATTGTACCAAGTGTCTACAAACATAGCAACATCAATAACTTTCTTGTAAGCACCTATAGGCTTGTAAGCACTTTCTTGTAATTATATAAAAATGTAATCCCTATGTTAATGTAATTATATAAAAATGGATTTTGTACTAGGTAAACACTTTCTTGTAAGCACCTATAGGCTTGTCAAAGAAAACATAATTTTATTTGGTAAATCAATAGAAGATGGGGCAGTTGAATCACCCTGGGATCGGTACTATGCAAATCTAGCGCATATGCTAGCCTCCACATAATAACAATCCCGAGTCATCACTTTCTGCACAACATATACGCCATGTGGGTGGAACGGTCGGTATCACAACATAATTCTATACAAACCCGCAACAACAATAAATGAATACATTATGAGGGTCATACGACTAAGATGCAACTCATAAGATGGAAGCAAATATACCCTAGAAAAGTGAAGAACACAAGTGTCCTAAGAAGGCTCAAAATAAAAGTATATGATGTTCATATCGAGAAAAAGGCTTTCGCCCCGCTATATAGATATACTCATAAAAGTATAAGAAAGCAGGGATATGGTGTTCATATCCTTGCCCAGGCCCAGGTTCGACCCTACGTGCGATAACTAGCTAACGTCGTCCAACAACAAACATGTTACCTGAATTGTTGTTGGCTGGATTGCAACACTCTAGGGAAAAGAGTAAATTAAGCAAGATGAGTACGCAGTCGTATTCATAAGACTTGCATCAGATCTACACTAAGTATGAATCATTCTCAAGGAAGAGGATATATGAGTCAAGCCACGGCAAGTGCTAAAGCAACCTAGAGAGACATGCTACAAATTGTGTCAGAGCTAAGAAAAGAGAACATATAAGAGAGCCATCTACACTAATAGTCGTGCGATGCAACCGCACAGGTCCACATCGACGGGTGTCTGCCTGACCATTTCCTATTAGGGGCTTAAGGCGCCAGTTACAAGCTATTCTACTAACTGCCGCCCACGCTCAATCCCCTATCACTAGCAAATGGGTCGGGCCATATATGGATCATAGCAGGAGTTCGTTCTATTCCCAACCGATTTTGGGAAACTTCTAGAACTTGTCTGGTCAGTTTTTTGTTCTGTCTTTTCTAGACTAGGTCTTCTGTCTGTTTTTTTTATTTTTTTTATTTCCTTTTTGAATGTGTGAGCTTTATAAAAAAATTGAACATTTTCTCAATTTCATTTTTTTCCATTTTTTAATTGTATGTTCTTTTTTTTCAAATTTGTGAATAATCTTTTAATTATGATGAGCTTTTTCAATTTTTATGACTTATTTTAAATCCATGAGTTTTTTCAAATTAATGAACTATTTATTTGAACTTTTTCAAAAAGCTGAAGTTCTTCAAATTTGTGAACAATATTTTAATTTTGATGAGATTTTTCAATTTTTATGAACTTATTTTAAATACGTGATTTTTTCAAATTAATGAACTATTTGGAATTTTTTTGAACTTTAAAAAAATTGAAGTTCTTCAAATTTGTGAACTATTTCCAATTATTGAACCTTTGAATCAAATTTTTATGAATATTGTAGTTTTTCGATGGTGAACAGTCAACCAGTTTTTCGTACCTTTATCAAAACTGCCTGGTTCTTCGACTTTGTTATTTTGTTTTTGATTGCACGAATTATGTTAGTAACACAAGAATAGCGAACAAAAAGAAAAAAACAAAGCTAGCGAGTGAGCAAGAGGGCGGAAGGGTAATTGGGCCATGGCCCATGAATCAGCCTAGCGATTTCGGTGCACCTTTTAGGCGGCATTTCCTATTTGGCGCCACATGCGCCAGTTAACGTGCATTTTGTAAACTGGCGCCTGTGGCATCTGTAAATGGGCCGCCCATCTAGGCGCCGGTTGACCATTTTTTTTAAAAAAATCTGTGAACTTTTTTGAGATTGATGAACTTTTTTGAATATTGATGAACATTTTGTATTGAAAATGGATAAACATTTTTTTAGTTCCATGAACTTTTTCTAAAAATACGTGACATTTTTCAATTTCTATGAACTTTTTTTGAAGAAATTCTCTCATGCTTCACTTAGATTTATTTGGGAGTTAGTAAAATTTTCAGAAATTCTCTCTTGCTTCACTTAGATTATTTTGAGAGAAAGAAAAAATTATGCTCATGTTCTTCACTTAAATTTGTTTGAGCTTATCAAAAGCAACATATGAAAATAGTCCCAAAGTGATAGATAT